CCCCCGCCCCGCCCTTTTCCCCGACTCAATCTGGCCTTCAGGGTCTGTCTAGTCGCAGGGAGCGGAGAGGTCCCGCAGCCCACAGTCTGCGAAACTGATGGGCGAGAAGGGAGCCACGACCCATCCTCCTAGTCTGGGACAGCAGCCCTGTCGCCCTGGCTCCCCTTCTCTGTTCCCATCCGCAGCTGGACTCCCAGGGACAGGAGACACGGAGAGTTCCCCGACTCAATCTGGCCTTCAGGGTCTGTCTAGTCGCAGGGAGCGGAGAGGTCCCGCAGCCCACAGTCTGCGAAACTGATGGGCGAGAAGGGAGCCACGACCCATCCTCCTAGTCTGGGACAGCAGCCCTGTCGCCCTGGCTCCCCTTCTCTGTTCCCATCCGCAGCTGGACTCCCAGGGACAGGAGACACGGAGAGGTGGCGCCACAATCTGGGTGGCCCCAGGACTTCCCAGGGGACCCCCTCTTCCCTTTGGGAGATACGTTTAGTCTCTAATCTTCTGAGAGTCTAATAAATCTCGCCCCATTAAGACAAAACAACAACAACAAAATTACCTTAGCAGGTATAGGAAAGCAGTGACACCTTCTTCCACTGAGCTGGCCTGCTGCGTGGCCCAGGGCCTGAGCGCTCTACCTTCTTAATCCTGAGGGGCCCAGCCCAACCCTGCTTCACAAAGAGGAGCCTCTGGAGGTTGCTTTACACCCCTCACAGTCGTAGCCTGAATTCTTCCAACTCAGGTAATGGAGATGTTAAGCCTCGGGGCTGTTTTAAACCCAGCTTGGACACTGGGGGACCCGGATCTGGGCCTGGACAAGGGTGATGTTTCTATCACAGGCATCAGCCTAGGTTTACCCGGTGTGCTGTTGGAACAGTAGTGGCTCCACCCCATCTGGGGCTCAGGTCGTTAGAGAGGACCCCAGCCCATATGTGACATTTGTTGGAGTCAGGTATCAGGCGAAGTCTGGAAGGATGGAGGCATTAGGATTGTGGGCTGCAGGGGGACATGGTGGGACTTTTATACTGAGTTTTACTCCTCTCCTCTACCCATCTGCAGGTTGAGTGAACCCTGCTACAAAGGCTGTGATCTTGGGCTGTATGAACAGAGATGCAGTGCCTAAGGCAGAGTGGGATGTGGGTAACCTCTGAGGCAATTACTGTGTAGCTTTTTAGCCAACAGAAAGGGAAACTTCCTTGGAGAGCCCTGGGGTGGGGGGCTTGGGCGCCTTTGCAGGAAGCTGGGAGTTGCAGCAGGACAGGCTGGTAGTTTTGCATGGTACCAGGGGAAAAACTGGACACTGAGTGGAAGAGAGGCAGGCTTTGATCTTACACCTACAAGGGTCAGTTCTAAACCAGAACCAGAAGTGACCCAGCTCTGAGGGGAGCTCAGGGAACCTTGGTGGGCCATCAGGACGTTATGGAGCGGTCTGGCCAGGTGGCCTTATGCATCCTTACAAGACTTTCCTGCCTTGTGCTGCTACTTTGCTTGGGGGAAGGTGGGCTCCTGTGGGTAGAATCCTCTTACGACTCTTGGCTCTGCTTCTGGGAGACCCCACTGTGGAGGGAGCTGTTGGCCCCAGCAGCATCTGAGCTGGATAGGCCAGGACCTAACTCACTTTGTGGCCCTGAGACTCAGCTTTCCAGATCCACCCTTTTTACCCTGGGTGCTCTGCCTCCTACTCTGCTCCATCTGCCGGGCTCATATGCAACTCCCCCAGATACCGCCTTATCAGGTACCTTTTTTGCCCAAAGGCCTTTTACACTTCCCTTTTGCCGGTAACCCTATCCCTTGCTTCTTGTCCTGGTGTTCAAGGCTGTCTGATCTCATCCTTCCTGCTGCCTTCATCCCCGCCCTATCCTGCCTCCCTGACCAGCCAGCACATCCAACTCACTTCCATCATTGCTCCTTAGCTCCCCCTCCAAACCTCTGCCTATCCAGTTTTTACCTGTCCCCTGCTGAACTCAAATCCTGCCTTTCCCAGTCAGCCTGCTAGGCCTCACAGAGTTCTCCTTTCCTGAGCTCTGTGGCTTCAGCACAGCCAGAGGGTCTCCTCCACAGCTGCCGGGTCTTTCTTACATTGTGAGGTTTAGACCCTCTTTCCCTGGAGGGATGCAGGCCCAAGACTCCTAGGTCTGAGCCCCGGGCCTGGTAAGCCAGTACTGTAGGCAGTAGGTCAAGGATAATGAGATGCAGATGAGCACCTGCCATTTCCCAGCTGGGACAGGGGAGGACACTCCTGTGTCCCGATTCAATGGAGTCAGGACAAGCTATGATTTTGATCTCCCCAAGTCTGTGCCCAGCATCTCCCTGCCACCACCTGGCTGACTTGTACATGCACTGTTCTTCCCTTTGAAGGACTGACTCCTCCCACTTCTGAATGCCCCTGCTTGGGGGACAAAGAAGGGGACACAGGATCCAGGCCTAGTCAGCCAGCGTATTCCAGCCATCTGGACGCCGTGATTGGGTGGGGACGGGGATGTGACCAAGTTGGTCGATATTCACTTCTAAAATCTTTGCTGGAACCACTGAGAAACAACTCTTTTTTCCCCTTTGATTGTCCGGGGGGCAGGATGTAAGCTGGAGCAGCTAAGTGGCTGTCATCACGGACCCAAGAAATGAAGACACAGCCCTGATGCCAAACACCAGATACTATATGCCTCCTGGGCTTTCCGGTCACACTGTCAATTTGATTACTTCGAGTTGGTTCCTGTCATTTGCAATAGAAATAGTGCTGAGCCAGGGCACCAGCACTCACAGTTTTAATTCAAGAATGACAGTGACAAGGGAAAGGACTCGATGGGTGGGAATCTGCTACCTTAACCAAGAGCACACCACAGAAATGCTATCACCCTTGCTACAGACTGAACTGCGCCCCCCGAGTTCATAGACCGAAGGCCTGGACTTCAGTGTTACTTATTTACAGCAGGGCCTGTGAGGAGATAAAGCTCATTGAGGTCACTGCCTGGTGTCCTTAATGAGGAGAGGGGAGAATAGAGTAAAAGGGGAGGGGAGAAAGGGTGGAGAGGGGGAGAAAATATGAATGAGAATCAGGACACAGAGGAAAGGTCACAGAAGGACATTTGAGAAGGTGGCTCAGGCAAAAACCAAATCGGCCGACACCTTGACCTTGGACTTCAGCCTCCCGAACTGTGAGAGGTTTGTTTCTGCTGTAAAAGCATCCAGTCCGTGGTACCGTGGTGACAGCCTGAGCTGACAACACAGCCCTCATTTCACACATCACACGCTTTGCCCGGGCTCAGTGGCGTCTTCCCAGCATCACAGCCAGGCTGGCTCCCTGCACCCACAGGCCCCCACATCCCCAGGGACAGAGCCTGGCCTCCTGTAGGAAATAATCAGTCTCTTTATTTACAAGTGATTTACAGTTCAAAAAACCAGGTGAGGTGGAGGCAGGGTGAGGGTACGAGGAGATGGCAGAGGAGATGGCACTTGGTTGCTGGCAGGTCACTTGTCTGCGCGGACAAAGGAGGCGAAGACGCTGTCCTTCCGGCTGAGCAGGTTCTCTGGCTTGTCCAACTCCAGGATGGCGCCCCGCTTCAGGACCATCACCAGGTCTGCGCTGAGGATGGTGTGCACACGATGCTGGGGGCAGGAGGGGCAGGTCAGGGCAGGCAGGGAGGGGCAGGGCCACAGATGTCCCACCTCCGAGGTGGCTGTCCTTGCCTGGTGCTGTGATCCAAGGCCTCCACCCACTGTGACCACCCTTCTCCCTCAAGTCTCAGCCCTGCCCTACTGCCAGACTTCAGGACTCAACAGACCACTGTCCCCAAGCCCCCATCCTCTACTTCCTATGGAGAAGGAACCCCAGCCTAGCTCATGGGGCTTTGGGACAGGGGAGACCTTGATACCTGGAGGAAAAGAGAGGTCTGACAGTCCTGCCCCAGGCCAGCCCCCCAGACTCCTCCCAGGGTCCTTTCCTGATGACAGCCCCAGGCAGCCAGCCTCCTCTCTGGGTGATCACTGCACGCCATCAGGGTGCCGCTTACCGCAATGGTGACCACAGTGCGGTCTGCGAAGGCCGTCATCACCACCTTCTGGAGGATGTCCTCCTGTCAGGTGGAGGCAGTAGCTGTCAGCTCACTCACCCAGTGGATGGGTTCTGGCCTGGCTCTGGGGCCCTGGGGTTGCGGCCCACTCCCATGTGACTCCAATCCTAGCCCCACCTCCACTGCTCTTTGGCCCTGGTCCCCAAGGCACTGTGAGGAACAGCAGTCAGGGACCGGCCCCAGCCAGCCAGGGGCTCAGCTCTGTGCATGTACACGTGCTACTTCTGCATGGTGGAGGATGGGGGGAAGTCTGTGTGTGTGTGTGTGTGTGTGTGTGTGTGTGTGTGTGTGTGTGTGTGAGTGGAGCCATGGTCCCCCAGCCCTGATGCTGAAGGCAACCTCAGGACGACTTTGTGCTAAGTGCTCCATAACACCCTACTAAAACTGCTCTGCGGAGATGCCCGGGACCAACCGTAGCCATGTCGATGGAAGCTGTGGCCTCGTCCATGATGAAGATACTGGTCTTCCTCACAAAGGCCCGAGCCAGACAGAAGAGCTGCCTCTGGCCCTGGCTGAAGTTCTCCCCACCCTCTGTGACGATGGCGTCTGGAAAGAGCCCCGTGAGGGTGCAGGGTGGAGTTAATCCTTTGCAGGGGCAGGGAGCACATGGGAGGGGAGACACGTGGGGACATGTGTGTACAGGGTGGATGTGTAACAGCACAAGTGTGTCCAGGGTTGATACACATGACACAATGACACAGTCTGCAGGGACTGCAGTGAAAAGCACCCCCTTCCCCAGTGCTGTGCGTGGCCCCTGCCCCCACATAGGCAGTCACATGAGAGGGTGAATGCACACATGCATGTACAGTGTGTGCCACCCAAGTGGTGGCCTGCTGAGGGTGATCCACCGAAGCCTAAGTGTGGCCACCAGACACTGCTGTAGGAGCTGTGACACACACCAAGACTGTGCTGACCCCTCAGACACAGGTCTGAGACTCTCCTCGCTGTCCTGTCCTCCGGCAGGACAGGTGGATAGGGCTGGGAAGAGCTGAAGATACCACTGTGGTAGGGGGAACTGGAGATCTCTGTCTCACAGTGACCCCAGCTGTCCTTGCACCTTGCAGGAGCGCTGACCCTGAACTGACTTGTCAGGTGACCTGAGCCAAGTCAGGGCCTCTCAGGGCCCAGCATGATGAAAGGTGGCACTCAAGGTAGACTCCAAACTCAGAGCACACCTGAGACCTGGTGGCAAGTGAGGCTTCCTCCCCAGCCCTTCCAGGGTCCTGGAGGCCCTGCTCAGCTGGCTGCAATTACCGAGGCCTCCAGGCAACGCCTTCACCACCAGCTTCAGCTGGGCAATCTCCAGGGCCTCCCACAGTGTGCTGTCCGAGCACTTCTTCTCTGGGTCCAGGTTAAACCTGGAGGGTGACACAGGAGTCCCATCGGGAGGGGAGCAGAGTCCTGCTCCATCCCCAGGGACCTGCAGAAGGCCATGCCAGTCAAGGGGTAGCAAGCAAGAGCTGGTTAACCTGGGGGGCCTGGCTGGGTGGGGAGCACCAGGGTGGTGACGGTAGGTGGAAGACAGCATTTGACAGTGGGGCCGGGGAGCCCCCAGCGCCTGCCTAGGACTAATGGGAAGAAAGGCTGAAGGTGACGCTTTTCTACAGACTGATCTCCCTTCTTCCTCCTCTTCGGAGCTGGGCCACCCTGGGGTGGACAGGCTCACCGGATGGTGCCGCTGAAGAGGACAGGGTCCTGCAGGATGATGGACAGGCGCGAGCGCAGGGTGTGCAGTGGCAGTCTGGCGATGTCAATGCCATCAATGACGATGCGGCCTGTGTGGAGATGATGTCACAGGAGGCGCAATGCCAGGGGTGGTGGAGCTGCCGCGGATGTGTGGGCCTGGGACACGGCCCCGGGTGAGGATGCAGAGGAAGGCAGTGACTGCCGGACTCCTGTGACATCTGACCGAAGGTCAGGGCTCGGGGCCCATAAGGGGCTCTGCATGCACACATGGGGTAGACACACAACTCACCCTCGAACATGTCCACCATGCGGAAGAAGGCCAGGGAAAAGGAGGACTTCCCACTGCCCGTGCGGCCGCAGATCCCGATCTGGAATTAGAAGCAGGTACCCCGCTGTGGCTCTGGGGCCGCTGGGCGTGGCCTCTAGTGCCGGCTGGGCGGCTCTCGGGTGCGTGCAGGTTGCACTCCTTCTCTTGCCTGGCTGCTTTTGGGCCACAGGTCTGGTCTTGCTTCCCATGCTGGGTCCAGAGGGGGCTCTCGTGGGGGCCGAGAGCAATGAACTAAACCAGACACGGGAGCTTTTGTGTTATGTGGTTTTTCTTATACGAGAAACTCAAAGTATAAATAAACTAAAGAGCAAAATAAAAGCTAGATAATAGGATATAGGCAAATAGGTCTGTGGTAAAAAGGAAGGAGAATGAGAGGGGAAGGAATAATAAAAAAAAGAATTAAGATGTGTCATGTACATGTACCAGCCGGCCACGAAGAAAGTGCAGGGTATAGACATCAAAATCCTGGGCCTCGATGTGAGTCTAAGTGTAGCTGGTACGTGGCTGCAGGACAGGTGGGTCTGGTCTGTCCCTGTGTGCATGGGTGTGGCGAGAGGACACCGGGGTGGCTGACTGTGGTGTGCAAGGATGTGTCTGAGCCCCTGCCTTAAATGGGAACCATCCCAGATCCTGTTGCTTCCTGGCCCTTGGGTCCCAAGAGAATTATAATATGGGACCAATACAGAGCCAGGAATGCTGATACAGACGGGCACCGAGGTGGGGACAGAGGAGAGGAGACACATGGAGGGACAGAGGCGCGGCCAAAGGTCGCAGGTAGTGGAAGAGACAGAGACAGAGAAAGGAGGTCGGATAGAAGGGGGAGAGAAAAGGGAGCTGGGTCAGAGGCTGACAGGAGCTCCCACGGGAGGACAAGGGCAGCCCTTGCTGTGAAGCCCAGGGACAGTGTCCCAGGGAGCGTCCCTGACAAAGCCTCTCTGAGCCAGGAAGTCCAGGTTGTCCATCTCTGGTGACTGAGCAAGGAGACAGGGCCCGAGGCGGGGAGCCACAGGGCAGCGGCAGGAAAAGTGGGGTCAGTCTCGTCCTTGTGATGGGGCAGGGCCGGGAGCCTGGGGTCTGAACGCACTGAGGCCATGAGCTGCCCTCCCCAGGCCCCAGGGCCTCTGTCACCTTCTGTCCTGGTGAGATGAGGGCGTTGACGTGCTTGAGCACCGGCTTCAGAGAGCTGTCGTAGCGCACGCTCAGGTTCTGGATCTGGATCTTCCCTTGGTCTGGCCAGTTCTTCGGGATCAGTGATGGGGCTGGGGGCCGGGTTGGGTCAGGCACCAGGGCGGGCCACAGCTCACATCCAGGGGCCTCCACCCCAGCTCCCCCTCTGGCCCCGGGCCCGCACACCCCTCCTGTGGGGCCCTCACCCAGCAGCCCCTCGTAGCTCTCCGCCTCGGTCTTCAGGAGCCCATGGATGCGCTTCACGGCGCCCAGCTGGATCTCCATGTCCGCCAGGTTCCTCACCATCCAGTTGAGGTAGTTAGAGACCTGCCGACAGTGAGCCAGTGAGACACTCAGTGAGCACTTAGTTCTGTCCTCAGCCACCAGGGTGGCTTTCTTTTTCTTTTTCCTTTATTGAGTTTATTGGTATGTTTTAGGGATATAGTACAGTTACATCATTGGGATCTTGTACCTTTACATGACAGGTCTTGGTTCTCATTTTTCCCCTTGTCCCTGCCCTCTCTTCACCCCCTCCTCCCCTCCCCATCTACAATCACTTTATTTCCATTTTTTCATTTTCTCCTATTTTTTTCTTTTCCCTTATTGCCTTTCCCCTACCCTTCCCACTTTCCCTACACCGTTAGCCCTTTTCTTCCCATTTCACAATGTCAGTTATCTCATTACAGCGTGGCTTTCTTTAGGGCTGAAGAGGACCCCAGGGGCTCCCAGATGTCTTCTGTCACTGCCAGCAAGAGTGACCTTCCCTGGAAGCCTGGGGAGGATCACAGTGTGAGGCCCAGGTGTCTGGGCCCGCCCAGGTCCTGCCGGTCAGCCTTCTTGTCCACGTGGAAAGTCCTGGGTGGGGAAGGACCTTGGGGGCCCCGAGAGCTGCTGTCTGGGCCCTCCCTGCCCCATGCAGCTGCCACTCACCATGAGGGCATAGGTGAGGCCCAGGCCCACCAGGCCGGCCGAGAGCTCCCTGTGCAGGGAGTTGGAGATGGAGGTGGCAGCTGCAATGAGCACCACGCAGGCACCGATGTACTCCTACGCAGAGGGGCGGGGTGAGGGGGACAGCAGTGGCCTGGGGCCTCCGGGTCGGAGGCACGGGTGCCGCGTCCCACCTCATCATGTCCAGGGCCAAGAGCAGTTTGCCCATCCCCACCCCAGCCCCACACCTTGTATCATCAGACACAGGAGTGGATGTGACCCCAGATCGCACGGCGCACACCTGTTCGTGTTCCTGGCACACCTGCCCTTCAGACATAGCCCCCAGGTGGTGACTCAGGGAAGGGCACAGGTGAGACACGGCGAGGACATCAGGGAGAGGACAGCAGAAGGCTCAGTGTCCACCCAGCCCTGCATCCTGTCCTCTGTCAGACCCTTGCTCCAGTCCCACATGCCTATGGGGACCCTGTGTCCTGGGACCTGGGGGAGGGCGGGTGCCACTTGCCATGCGGACTTCCAGCCATCTGTTGGCTGCCGTGAGGAAGAGGGAGGCGATGTTGTTGGAGTCGGTGTATTCGAGAAGCTTCTGCTGGAACCGGGCCTCATACCTGAGAGAGGATGAGGAGCAGTGTGGGTCAGGCAGCTCCCGGGACTCCTGCAGCCCCAGACTTGCCCTCTTCACCCCCTTATGTATGGGTCCCCCCTGCCGGGACGTCCTCCTTCCCACTTCTGCTAACCTGCGGAGCTGCCCTCCCTCAGACTGCCCATGCCCTGCTCTTTTCTCCACATCGTCCCCATTGCTGTGAAGGACGCCCACATCACCCATTTCTGAGGCCAGAGACCCAGAAATCAGCTGGATCCACAGCCAATCCTTCAACAAGTCCTCTCGAGGCTTCCTTCCTGCCTCTGTGCACCTCTCCCCAGCTTCGTGCTCACCAGACTACGCTCAGTTCCCTAATTAATACACTGCTATATCCCCGCAGATCCCTCTCCACCCAGCACCATCTTTCCAAATCACAAGCTCTCTCTGCTGAGTATACCAATGGCCTCCTACTGCTCCTGGGATAAAGAACCACCTTGTCAGAGGCCTATGGGAGCTGGCACCTCCTAACCTCACTCCTTCCACAGACTCCCTCACTCACCACACTGCAGGCACTCCAGCCTTTTCAAAGTTTTACAACAGTATCAAGTTCTTTTGTACCCCAGGGCCTTTGCTCATGCTTTTTCCACCAGCTGGAATGCTTTCTCCCTTGTTCTCAATTCCTTCTCAACTTTCACTCCTCACCTTAATGGGTACCTCTTCGGAGAGAACTTTCCTGGCCACTCCTTTACCTAAAGTAGCCCCCTCATATCTGCAAGCAGTTAGCTTCATGATGCCTGCTTGTACAGTCATTTCTCTAGCTGTTTACAATCTTTCTTCCTCCCCAGACTGGAAAATCCATGAGGATGGAGATCAGGGTCTACTTTGTTCCTAGCCTCTGGCACTATAATGAAATATTTGCTAAACATATGAGGGGAACGTCCCTGGGCCTCTCAGAAAGGATCTCTCTGTATGAGGGACTCTGGAGGTTTCTCTCCCACCCTCACACCTCGGTCTCACTTCCCCTGGTTATTGTGTGTGACTTGGGTCCTCACTGTGCTGGCATGGGCTGGCCCAGCAGAGGCACAGGGCACTTGTATGGCAAGGCAGGCAGGCAGGAAGGAAGGCAGGCAGGAGCTACCTCAGCTCTGGTCTGGTAAAGACTCGGAGGGACCCTAGGCATGCCATGGTGGCCATTTACTTAGTCCTGAGGCCATTTGGCTTGGACTATTTTTGGGTGGAGGGCATGTCTAGGGACCATGAAGTAAGTCCCTGAGGTGCACAAGAGTGTTTGATCACACGTGTGTGTGTGGGGGGGGGCGTGCAGGTAGGTGAGTGTCCACGGTGAGGGTGAAGCCACACGTGTGACGAAGTTGAGCGTGATCCGAAGGGTCTTGACGTGTGCATGTGTGAGTGAGTGACAGGAGAGACAGGAGCTCTGGCCAGGAGTGTGACAGTGAGCACGAGAAGGGGCCTGGTTTTGGAGCCATGAAGACCTAGGCCGGAGTCCAAACATCACTACTGTGTATCAGGACCATGACTCAGTTTCCTCATCAGTAAAATGGGGATAGGGACAGCACCTCAGTGGAATGAGACAACTTCTGAGCGCAGCAGTGCTGGGCACTCTGAAAACTTTTGCGAGAAACCGTGGCCTGTTGGGAAAGTCCAGAAGGTCAGGTAGGCCGGGGTCACAGTCTCTGTGACCAGACTGGCTCCTGGCCTCTCTGGCTCTCGATTCTGCATCTGTAGAACGTGGCTTCTCACACCTAAGTCAGGAGGCTCTTGTGAGGACTGAATGCCATCACACACGCTGCACTTAGCACTTGGCGCCTGCTGAGTGCTCGATCAATAAACACTAGTTAACTCCCAACAGGGCAAGTGCTTGGGCAAAAGCCAACAACTAGACTTATGGGGCTGATCAGAAAGTCTTTCATTTGGATTCAGGAATCATTCCCTGTCAGTGCAGGGTGTAGGTGGCTTTGTGGCCGCAGTCCCTCTGGCCGACCACAGGCTTGGCCTGAGCCCCACGCTTGGTCTGAGGCTGGTGACAGGGTGCTGGGATCACTCACAGGAGGTCTGGCCCACTTTAGAAGAGTCACAGTGTTCCTGCCACAGTCGTAGCCAGAGGGCCTCTGGACACCAAATGTAAGACGAATAGTGCCGAAACTTACAGCAGAGGCTCGGGCCAGTAGCGTGAGGGACCTGGAAGCTGTAGGAACTGGGGACACTCAGGTGCCAGGCTCTGAGGCTTCAGCCCTGTTCTGCTCTGCTTTGCACAGACAACCCCCAAGGTGGGGGGGTCCCCCACACCGGTCCCATTGTCCCCAGGAAGTTGGCCAGGGGGCTGACACTGGACTTCAGGGTCAGGGAGGAGATGCAAGTGTCCCGGACCCCTGGCTGATTCCTGAGCCCTGCGGTGACTCCTGGACACAGGGCTTGGTGTCACACGGTCATTATCATAGCCCACACAGCTGTGTCATTCTAAAAATAATCTCATCACTTTCTGGGTGAGGCTTAAAGAACCCAAGATCTGGGCCAGGGGTCTCTGACTGGGCTGGCAGAAGGAAAGATGACTCGGTTGGGGGAACAACAGGAGTTCCCACTCCCCTGGCCAAGAATGTCTCAGGCCTGCTGCCCAGGCTGGACAGGGTGGCAGGGATGTGGCAGTTTCCTGGAAATTCCTCAGCCTGCCGAACTCTTACCCATCCTTTGAGTTCTAGCTCCTGTGCCTCATCCTCTGTGAAGCTTTCCTCGACTGCCTGCTTTCCGTCTCCCAAAGTCCACCGCCGCCTTCTAACACAGCACCTGTCACAAGGCTTTGTCCTGGCTACTCAAAGTCAGGACTGTAAATGTCTCCAGGCCAGGGGCTCATTCGACTCATCGTTCTAGTGTCTGGCATGAGACTCAGCACATGTGCTCAGTACGTGTTTGTTGAGTGAATAAGCAGGTTCAAGTCTGGGCTTTGGAGGACCTCACACATAGAGGTGGTTTCCTTATTTGTGCAGAGGAGACAATCATCTCAAGTCACCTAGGGCGGCAGTGCAGGTAAAAGAGCGACAGGGACAGTACTTGGCAGTGTTTGGTGACAGGAGGTTTTCAACAACTGAGGGTCTCAGGGCTGGCCTGGGATCTAAGGGCCTTCTAGCATTGACACTCAAGATTGTCCCTACCTTCTTCATTTTTATATTCCGCTTTGTTCACAGAGGCCCTGGGCTTGTCTGCAGGGCTGGAATTTTCCTCTTGGGATCACAAAGCTGGAGCCACCTGGCCTGTCACCTCTGGGAGACAGCCCTGGACCTTGGGACCCGGGAGAGTTCAGAGAGGTGTGCATTAGGCCGCCTCACGTGGGAGCCTTTGAACGGAGTCTCACGGCCTGCGGCCCCGTTCCAACCCCTCCGCTCCTACCTTGTGGGTATCTGGCCTCGTACCTGAAGGCCCGGATGGTAGTGAGGCCCTCCACGGTCTCAGCAAAGTGTGAGAGAAGTGGCAGCTGGGTGGTGTCATCCAGCTGCTGCAGGTCCCTGTGCCGGGGACAGAGCAGAAGAGTTAGGGCACCTGGTCAGGCTCAGCCCGGGTGTGAATCCTAGCTCCATGCCCCCCATGTGTGGCCAAATGCGCGTCACCTCTCTGGCCTCAGTTTCTCACCTGCAGAGAGAGGACAGGGGTACCTCCCCTCCACACTGCTGTGGGCAATGAATGAGTCCGTTTATGTGAAATGCTTAAACAGAACCTGCCGGGTGCACTTCCTATCACCCTGGGCATGGCCGTCCATGTTCCTGCTGCACAACCTGGCACTGACGTTAGGCAGGGCAGGTAGCACTGGTTCCCTTTTCTAAGGGAGCCTGTGAAGCCGAGACTGCTGGCCAAAGAATGGGGAAAGCCAGACTCAAAGCTCTCAGCTCTTTTCCGAAGGCCACATTCGGCTTCAGCACATCACAGACAAAGACCTAAGAGCTCCTGGGGGTTGGGGCAGAGGTTTCCATGGCAGCAGAATGGCCTCCAGCTCCTCTAGCTGCACCTTGACAGCACCTCTGTGCTCCACAGGCTGGGATGGACAGCAAGCAGCCGTCCTGGTCACGCTGTCTCTAGGGCCAGAGTGGGGACCAGAGGGACAGCAGAACACTTCTTCTCTGGCAGGGAAATGAACTTAGTAGAACAGCTTGTATTACAAAGTGTCTGGAACGTCGCTGTGCTTTGGTCCATATCAATGCATTATGTTCCTCGTGGGTGCTGGGGGACCCAGCCAACAAAAAGCCATCTATACAGATGTTGATCCTTTTGGATGAGTCACTGTGACAAAAAATGCATCTAAATTTTATCATATTATTATTCTTATTCTTATTGCTGATCAATATGTTTTTAATGGGGCCACCTAGGGTATCTATTGTTCAAACTTCCATTTTTTCTTGTTTATAGACTTTATCAGTGCACATTAGTTATACAAAGAAATGGGTTTCATTGTGGTATTTTCATACATGCATATAACCTACTCTGTTCATATCCATCTCCCTCCTTCGATCCCTCCAACAATAATCTCCTTCCTATTTTATTGTCCTTTTTTCCTCTTTGATTCCAAATATGAGAGAAGCTGCTCAGTATTTTGACTCTAGTATCTAATCAATCATGTGCACCTGGGGAAGGTACTTAACCTTTCTGACTACAACTTGCACTAGGAGATGTACTTTATATCACAAATCAGTACACCACCCTTAATGACCAAAAACAGAGGTTTCATTAAGCAAAGCTTGCTATTACTATGTGAATACAGGCTGGTATTTTCACTATTTTAAAACATTCTTTGTAATCCCTTTTGATTTCCCAATCCACAGATGGTTGTAACTGGTAGGGTGAGAAATATGGCCTAGGTCTTTAAAACTTTCCCTATAATTCTTTGAATTGATGAGTTTAACAGAACCCCTCCCAGAAAAAATATTTTCTAGAGAAAACTTAGAAAATTCTGAGGAAGAAAGAGGTGTGAAGCAAAGTTGAGCCAAGCCTGGGCAGCTTTAGCAAGACACAAAAAGAGGGCTGGGAATGTTGTTCAGTGGAAAGGTCTTGAGTTCAACCCCTAGTTGAAGGAAGGAAGGAAAGAAGGAAGGACAGAGAGAGAGAGAGAGAGAGAGAGAAAGAGAGAGAGGGGGGGGAGGGGGAGAGGGAGAGAGAGAGGGAGAGAGAGAAAGAGGAGGAAAGAACTGAAAGAGGGCTGGAGGTTTAGCTCAGTGGTGCTGTTGCCTGCCTTGCAAGTGTAAGGTCCTGAGTTCAATCTCTGGTACAAAAACAAAAACCAAAACCACAGACAGACAGACAGATAGAGGTGTGCATGGCCCCAAGGCTCACTAGGGTGAATATCATCCACAAGAATGGTCAGGAGAGGCTCCATCAAGTCAAGGGTTCCAGCCAGGATCTGGACCCCAGGGCAGGGAGGTAAAACAGTGCTTACACCACTCCTATCAGGTGCTGTCTGGTTTTACACATCAGCCATCAGCCTGGCTGCTGGAATCATACAGCGCTTATAGGAAGCGTCTTGGAAAAATGAATGAAGGGCATAAACATGTCCACACACCCTGACCTAGCAATTCCTTTCCTGAACATATCTCCCAAGGAAACAATTCAGATATGAACTGCACCGTGGGCCTGTGTGCCACGTAACAGAGGGTTATGCTAGGGTAGTGGAATACAGCGATGGACGATTCCTTTATTTTTAGCTACTTCTTTTTTCCTTCTGGGGAACATGGCCCTGTTGTTACGACGACAGTGCCTCTAGTAAATTTACCAAGTGCCCATTGCAAGACACCCCTCCGCCCACCCAGGCTGCAGATGCTGCCATCACCTGGATGCCACCCGGAAGTACTTCTGGATGAAGTAGGACATGATGGCCAGGGGCAAGAGGGCCACGAGGAACACAGGTGTGACATAGGAGATGACGGCCAGGGCCGAGACGCAGAGCAGGGTGGAGCGGCTCAGGCATTCCAGCGTGGATGGGATGTGCTGAGGGAGGAGAGGGGGGACGGCCAGGTGCGTTGCCTGTGAGACTGTGTTCAGAGTGTCACCTGCTGCAATATTTTGCTCTCTTGCTTTATCACAGGCACACACATTATCAGCCCAGTTACAGTGTTAGCTCTCAGAAGCCAGATGAGGTGTTTGTTCTTTCACCATCTAGTACGATGGCAGATAAAAAAAGACAGGCTGACCCCAAATGAGTATCTGCCAATTCATCAGCCACTTTGATTCAGAATATACTGGGGTGTTTCTAGAATGAGCCTGGGTCCTTGGATGGAAAGCAGAGGGATCTGGTGGTCCCAATGTGTCCTGGGACACAGGTCAGGGACGCTGGGCTCCCCCCACAGGGCACTGATCACATGATCTGGGGAACCCAGTATCAAACAGGAGCAGCTCCAGAGACCCGGCCTCTCTCTGGGCCAGGGGAAATGTGGCCCAGTCCTCTGTACCTGGTCGATGGTGTTACAGTCAGATGAAAATCTGTTCAGGATGCTCCCAAGGGGCGTGGTCTCAAAGAACCTAAGAGGCAACAGGAAAACAGTTATTCATTAGCGATCTACTTCCTGCTTACTGAAAGAGGGCAGTTATTTATTTAAGTGTCTCTGGAGCCATCTGTGGGCCTGGCTTCCTGGGAGTAGTCGCCTTTGTGGATTTGCAGACATCTGTCTTGCCAGTGTTCCTGGGTCCTGGTTCCTGCTTAGCCTCTCTCAGAGGCCCATCTCTGACCACAGCGGACTTTCTCAGTCTCTCCTCACTCTGGCTAACTTGGCAGTAGTCCTCCCAGGGACACAGAGTCCTCTCTAGAGGGACACCTTGCCAAGGGGCAAGCCTGTCAGCTGGCTAACCCCGCGAGGCCGCTCTGGCTGCCAGTGGTGGTGACCTTGAGTTGGCCCAATTCCAAAGACAGAATTTCATTACCACAGATGTGGAGAAGAGAGGGTTAAGTCAGCTTGGACTTGTATCTGTGGGCCACAGAGAGGTCAGGAGGCTGAAGAGTAAGCCGTGTAGCCAGGTGACATCCACAAGGGCCAGGTAACCTGCTGGCCTGATGTGGCTGCAAACCGAGTTGGCCAATCAGGCCGTGACAACATTAAAGCTCTTCCAGACCAGGCACCTGCAGGGTCTTTATCTATTCTGAAATGCGGACTGGAGCAGCTCCCCTAACTCAGACCAGGGTGGCTGAGGGAGGTGAGGCGGGAGAGGAGGCAGCACAGCCTATGAAGACGGCAGATGACGGGGCCAAGGGAAGGGGACTAACCTTAACCCACTTGGAGGTGACACTCACCTGGAGGGCTGAGATGACAAGTGGATGAGATAACCGTGTGAAAGGCCTAGCTCAGGCTCTGCTGGCTAAATGCCAGTCATCCTGCTTCTTGTACAAGGAGGACACTTCTGCACACACTGCCTCTGAGGCACCCCAAGAGCCCACGACAGTCGTCTGTGACCATTTTAGAGATGGCAGAACTGAGGCCCGGAGCACAGTGGCTTGCCCTGGTGAAGCTGGGAAGGGTACCTCATGGGGGCTAGGATGATGCGGTTCAGCAGGCTGCGATGCAGTCTCTTGGCCACCTTCAGTCCTGTCCACTCCACGGTGACAGAGGTGACCAGACACAGCACGATGCCCAGGCTGCAGAGCACGGTGAACACCATGGCATAGACGGTCTGGTCCAGGGAGCACTCCTGCGTGGGCAGAGCATGAAGGGGTCTGAGGGATGTTTGTGGGCTCAGCCCTCGCCCCTCTCCCACCCCAGTCCCTGCCGTGGTGCTGCCAGCCACACCTGGCTGAGAGAGCAGTTCCTGGCCGCAGGGCTCAGGGTCAGGGCGCTGTCGGTCCACTTGGCCAGCCAGTAGTCGATGGCCACCAAGACCATGTGCTTGAGCAGCTGGGAGAAGACCAGCAGTGACAGGAGCAGGATGCCGGCGGAGGACAGGTACTTGGCACAGGCGCGCCACGGGATCTTGGCTCGCTGGTGCAGCAGGGAGGACAGGTTGTCGTCTTCCTCGCTCTCGGCCACCTCCTCTGCAGGCCGTAAGAACCCGCCCTGTGGCTTCATGTTTCACACCCAGCTGCGGGTGGGTGAACTGGGGCAGGTATTTTACCCCTCCTTACAGGTGGGGAAGCTGAGGCACACAGAGGGGAAGGGATCCGTCTTACCACACCTAGAAGCCCAAACCTGTCTCCCCACAGCTGATCATTTTGCTTCCAGGCCCACTATCTGTACCTTCCTCCTCATCTTCATCTTGCAGAAAGCCGTCTTTTGAGGACACGGCACGGGGCAGGCCTTGGGGTGGCTCTGTGACTTTTCTCTCCACGACTGTCTCCTGAAAGGCAGAGAGGGGCCAGAACACTGTTTATCTTGGCAGAATTTACTCTTCCCCTTCCACTGGCTGACAGCCCCCCAGTGTCCCAGGGAGAGGGACCACTCCTCTATTCTAAGTGCGCATGGTTCAGTGATTCTCGTGGACCCAAGATCCCAGACTGGCCAGTCCTCACATCCCACTGCCCATGCATGTGACCAAATTGGACCGAGGATTGTCAGCCCTGGGACCTCGCTGGGCTCCTGGGAAAGAGATGTCCTCTTTCTGGGAGAGCCGCTGAGCTGCAGAATGGGAGCCTGGGACAGCGGCTGGCCCGCACTGCTGCCACAAGAATGAAAAGCCAGTGTGAGGGGAGTAGGGCCAGGACATGGCAAAAAGCAGGTTCCTTATGGCACTGCTTGGCCATCTGATGCGGTGACACTTGAAGCTGTGACACACTTGCACTTTTTTGGGTTCATGATCCAATAAATCCTTTAACTCTCCCTTTTTTCTTTGCTTAACCAGTTGAAGCTGATTTTTGGAAACTCTGCAACTAAATGGCATCTGGTTATCTCAGGACAAGAGGCAGATGGCCACTTGGTTATGCTCTGGGTACTTGGCACAGGTACTGGCTCTCATCTGGTAGGAGCAAGTTCATGCCAAGTCCCACATCTGTCCACGGAGGGGCTCTCTGGGGCAGTGAGGACAGGAGGTCTTTGTGAGTTCAGGTTCTAGCAAGACCATTCCAGCCAGGGTGCTCTCTGGTCCCCAGGAGACACCTACCTTCTCCAGCTCCTGGTCCTGCCGGTTCATGAGGGTCTTCCAGTGCTCGAAGAGCTGGCACTCAGACCTCTGGAAGTCCTTGAGCGTGCCCTCCCTCTGGATAGTGCCATCCTTCATAGCGATGATCTGGAAAAGCGGAAATAAATCCGGTTGGGGGGCTGGCTGGAGTCTGGCAAGGAGATGTACACAGCCCTTCCATCTGTGCTTGGCAAAATGCATGCTGGTCTCAGTGTGTGCGTCCCCACCTTTGAGCTCAGCCTTTTTATTTGAAACACTCAGTGACGTCATCACGCAGGCTCTTCTGGTTTGTATCTAGATGCATCCCTCTCCCTAAACCTCATATGCTCAAAGGTGGGGCTTTGGAGAGGTGACTGGATCATGGGGGGTTATAGCTGATTTGCTGTTAAGAGGTGGGGCCTGCTGGAAAGAGGTGGTCACTGGGGGCATGGACTGGAAGGGCTCATCTCCCTCCTCTGCTCCTGTCTTGACTTTCTTTGCATCCCTGCTGCCACACCAAGAGCAGCTTTTCCTCTGCCAGGCCCCTCTGCCTGGGAGCTGTGGACGATGGCCTGAAACCTCTACAAACTATGAGCCAAAATAACCCTCTCATCCCTGATGGGGTGTCGGGTATTGTGCCTCAGAGACCAGAAAGTGACTGAGACAGAGCCTCATTAACTGGCATCCACCCCTGGTCCCTGCACCCCCACCCTTCCTGTTCACCTCCTCCTCCAGGAACCAGGCCCCTCCGTGCCTCCTCCTTTCGACTCAGGATTTGCCAGGGTCACTGCAGAAACTCAGAAATGAACCTTCTGCACCTGTTTTAATTGCTTTTAAAAAATCTGGATTATTTTTTGTAGTGGGGGAGGGTCTCATTGCATAAATGAAAGATTTATTTTTGGGGAAATTAGCAGGCCACATGGCACAGACCTCAGACTCAGATTTTGGCTGCTGCTTACAGAAAACTTTATATAAGAGTAGGCAAAACCTAGGTTTCAAAAGTCACATTATCTTTAAAATTAAGTGCTTTCCAATTAGTTGAAAAGTAACTATTTTGTACCTATTGAAGAATTTAATTAACGCGGGGTTTCAAACACTGCATTCTATTGATAGTAATGACGTTTCTGTAACTGCCGCCATTTTTTGTTTCTCTGCTTTCTCTCTCATCCCAATTTGAATTCACCCAGCCCCAGAAGGCCAGAAGGTAGGGAGCCAGCTCTCCCACCCAAGGCCAGGGAACACGCCATCAAGCTGGACAGGAATCAGAAGGTAGACACTTCTTGGTTCCAGCCTTGGGCTTGGGTGTCCCACAGGGCCAGGCCAGGGTGGAAAGAGTCCGCAGGTCTGGATGACACCAAACCCGGCCTATGCAGGGTCTCCGGGAGCTGCCCAAAGCCATCTAAAACTGGTTGCTTATGCTTTGTGGCCTTTGGACATTTCTGCTGAGACACCTGATCGAGTCCTTTGTTGATGCCTGTTTCCCCACCCCGGCCCTGCATGACTCCCTCACCCAGTCTGCATGAGGCAAGTACTGTAGCTTGTGGGTCACCAGGACCACTGTCCTCTTGTCGTCCCGGAGCAGCTCAAGGATCCCGGCCTGCATCAAGTGGTCACTCAGGTGGACATCCAGAGCTGAGAAAGGATCATCCTGGACAGGGAAGGGTAACCGTGAGTGTAAAACCCATCAGAGTTTATCAGTGCTGAGCCAGGGGTTGATGCTGGTTAGCTGTGTGACCCTAGGCAATTAATCTAACCTCTCTGGGCCTCAACTGCTTCATTTTAAAATGGGTCTATCAGCTTCCACTCTCAGACAGATCTGATCACTAGAGTTCCTATCTCCTGAGCATTCAATGGCTCCCCGGCATCTATAAGGTCTGATCTCCTTAGCATGGTATTCCAGGCTGTTATTTATTTTTTTTATTTTTAAATTAATTTTATTGGTATTTTATTGTATGCAATATAATGACATTCACTGTTGGGAATTTGCACTTTTGCATAGTAAATCTTTGTTCTTATTTCAGGCTGTTATGGTTTAGATCTAAAATATTCAGAGGTATTCAGAGGTAGGCTTTTTGGAAGGTGATTGGGTCACAGGGGTACTATATTCATCGGTGGATAAATCCATTGATGAGTTCATGGCCGAATGTGCTGTTAGGAGGTAGGGTGTGGTTGGAGGTGGGTCCCTGGGGGTGTGACCTGGAAGGGTGTATTCTGGTCCCTTCCTCCTCTTCTTTGCCTCCTGGCTGCCATGGCTTCAGCAGCTTTCCTCTATAAGGTCCTTCCACCATGCCAGTTCTGCATTGGAGACAACCAGTCATGGACTGAACCCTCTGAAACCAGGAGCCAAATTAAACCTCTCCTCCTTTAAGCTGCAGGCGTTGAGTATTTTGTCACAGTGACGAGAAAGTGACTAATACATTAACTTGTAAACCTGACTGGTCTCTCTAGCTTCATTTCTCACCTATCCCAGTTCCGTCCATTCCAGGTTTCCAAGGAGCCTGACATTCCAGCCTTTGCACAATCCGCTCCCCGCTGCCTGGAGTGCTGTTCTGCCTTCTGTCTGCCTAATGAACTACTTACGGTTCATCCTTCACTTACCCAAGTGCTAGGCCTTCTCCTGTCCTATTCTGACCCCCTCCTCCCTTTCCTTCCTCTCTGTTCCAGGGAAACCTCCACAAAGCCAGGTCCAATTTGCCCACTCCTGACCATGAGACACCCAGGATCTGAGACCTCTGGTACCTAATCCTCGTACAGAGTAGAAGCTTAATAAGACCCTGGCTACATAAAGTAGTCACTTAACTTTTATCTTACATGATTCTTTAAATCTTGGAGAGGACCACGAATGAGCTAGAACTTGGTAGGGTGCTGAGCGTGTGTCAGATGCTAACAAAGACCAGGGACCTTTATGTTTGAGATGTCTTCGTGACAAGTGCTCTGTGTGGTGGAAGAAGTGAGAGAATAAAGCTGGGATTAGAGACCTGAGGTTCCTTCTTCCATCTCCCTGACCAAGCTGCTCCTCCCTTTTAACTGACTCTGTCTTCAAGGCTCTCTTCCAGGAAGCCACCCCTGAGTATGCCAGCCTTCAGAGCTGCCTCCTGGACCAGGACCCTCATGATCTGCAGCACAATTCATCTTTGAACTGGCTGTGTCTCCTGGGTGAGGGTGAACCCTATTTTCCCATCTAAACTTTCAAGGCCAAAGGCTGGGTCTTAGGATCCTTCAGTATCAACCAAAATGCTTAACACAGAGCTTGGCATGAAGCAGGGCTAATATGTTTCATCTCATGTTTGACTGCTAGCACGAGGAGTGCTGTGTTCAGCATTCAACAGAGGCCAAGAGGAGTTCTGGGGGGGAGTAATGCAGGGATCAATTAGCAATGTCTGCCTTGGCCTAAGCGGGGAAGCGGCAGCACCTAATCCTGTATCTGCCATTCAGACAGCAGGCTCGCCACTACTCCTGTACCACAACGTGCCCCCCTGCACAGTTATACAGAGCTCAGTGGAGAGTCTGTGTTCATCATCAGCCCTGTCCTTGCCTGCCTCAGCTTTCCCGTCAGTAGATAGGCAGGTAACATCTCTGGCAGGGTAGTTTGCTCCTGGAGAGGAAGGTTATTGGGTGTTGTGTGTGCGAATGTGTGTTCACTAAGCTTGGGGGAAACAGCCAGAAATGAGGGCCTGGGTGAAATGCTGGCCAGGGCACTCACCAAGAAGACGACATTGGTGTGCTGGTACAGGGCGCGGGCCACACTGATTCTCTGGCGCTGACCACCAGACAGGTTGATGCCCTGTTGGCAGACAAACAGGAGGAACAGCCATGTCATCAGTCACTCAGGAGAGACGGTCCCAGCCCCTGCTAGAACACAAGCTCTTTAGGACAGAGACCTGGCTCCCTCCACTTCTCAGAACCCTCTCCAAATAAAGACACATGTATGTCTTTACTGAGTTTACTTGGAAACGGAGAGCTTGGATGCCAAGTTTTTGAAGACACAGCATGTAGGTGCTGGGGACCCTCTGACCAGCACAAACCAGGACAGAGGAAGTAAGGGTTTAAATCATGCCCAAGGAGGGAGGACGAGGGAGACTCCTATTTGTCTAAGTCTATGGGAGGGGACCTCATTCAGAGAATGAACAAGATCAACCCAGCCCTGGGTCTAGCACAGTGCCACACGGGTGTTCAGTGTGTACGCAGGCACGAATGAAGACATCAAGGTATCCCTGGGCTAGGAGGGCACGAAGCTGGCCATGTGCATCAGGCAGGGCTGAAGACCCATAAGGGCAAACATCATCAGGGAAAGCATGTTTGGCCGCGCTGTGGGCAACTCTCCAGCTGCACCCTCTCCTACTCCTCAGCTGCTCACTCCCACGGAGAAGGGTCTCAGGGCATGGTGGGGCGATGCATGTGGAACAGGGGAGGCTACAACCAACCCGTTCCCCAATCTGGGTCTGGTCTCCGTGGGGCAGGATGTCGATGTCTGGCTGCAGGGAGCACGCTTCGATGACCATCTTGTACCTGGAGAGGACAGAGGATGGGGCAGGGGGACAGCTGAACAGAGCGGTACCCTGGCACTTGCCAAGGGTCATTAGTCCCCGGGCAGCTGCACCAGGGTGAACGATGGCTGTAATGGGCCTTCCACTGGGGTGTGGGCAAACACCATGTGAGCTTGCAGAAAGCTGAGGTCAGCACCTCGCACAGCCTTGGGGCAGGTTAAATATTTGAAGAAAGAAATTGGATGGGCGCAAATATGCCGAATAAGTGACAAGAGGAGGCCCCTGGTCCCGGTGCAGTGGGAAAAGCTGCAGCAGGGCTCATGCTCAGGGCACGGCTGGCTGGTTTGGGCAGTAATGATGATGGCCGGTCAAATATTTGCCTAGCTTGTTCTTATCATTCCTGGTCAGCCCTTAGCCCGGGCAGGTGCCAGCCAGGGTTCACAAAGGCATCAGAGTATCCTGATGAAAAGTGTGTACTTAGGCAGCTCTGGATTCGAGACCCTTTTCAGTCACTTACTGGCTGGAAGGCCTTGGCCACACTACCTAACCTTTCAGAGCCTTGGTTTCCTCCTCTGTAAAGTGGGGATAAGGGTAGTACCTGCCTCCTGAGGTTGTGTGAGCTTTAGGGACATCACATGCACAAAAAGCCTGCCACTGAGCCTGGCACCTGATAAAAGCCCAGGGGATGCTGGCTGTCAGTACTGTCACTGGAGAGAAAATAGTGCATCAGCCCTGGATGGGTGGGGAATCACAAGAATGGAGAGGCAGGTGGTGCTGGGCAGGCGCGCACCAGCCTGAGGGCAGGTGGCAGGGCTCTCACCCCTCACACCTACAGGGGCTGACCTGCCCCATGCCCAGGCTGTCTGGATCCATCCCAGATATAACACGTGGAGCTGGCTGGATTCCAGGTAAGCAGCCTGGTGTGCAACACAGCTGGGTGTGGGTGATTGATGAGGGGCAGGGAAGCTGGCGGGGGGAGGCAGCCAGGGGCCAATTCCTCCCCTCCCTGGTCCCTCCCTCCTGGAGGCTTTTACCGTTGCTTGTTGAAGGGACTCTCAAAGGTGATATTCTCCTCCACAGTGGCGTTCAGCAGCCATGGTTTCTGAGAAGCATAGGCCACTGGGCCTCTCTTCCTGGAAAAAGCAGGTGGGGGTGGGGGTGGGGGTGGGGAGCCATCTCAGCGCAGCTGTCAAACTGATTGCTTAGATGGCCAGGGTGTGGGGTCAGCGATGAGATGGCAGGGGCACTTGGCAGAAACCTGCACTGTGTCTGCTCTTGTGTCCAGGGCCTAAGGCAGAGGTGTGTGGTCCGGATTGCAGCCACTGGGGTGGGGGGACCTTGCCCTCTCTGCCCCACACCCAGCCTGCCCCAGCCCTGCCCTCTGCTCTCCACCCTGGGTCTCAGGGAGGGGCGCAGTGTGATCAAAACAAGTGATCTCTCAACCCGATTTCCTTCTTCCTTTGGTGGCCCTGAACCACTGGACTCCAAATGGAAGAACATTTTTTTTCCTTCAAAGCACAGCCGAGGAAATCACATTTAGTATAATGTGATTTTCAAGGTCTCCCTGTGATCTGGTATGGAGCGGGCAGCTTGATGCACAGAAGCAGCAGCAGCTCAAGAACCCGGTGTGGAGGTGGGGAGCACACAGGGCCCTCAAGCTGAGGAAGTCTGTCCTAGGGGCAGTGGTTCCCGACCTGGTACCTGATGTCGGAGTCGGACGCCGTCTCCCGCTCTGGGCTGCTGCAGGGGAGGAAAGACCACTTCAGATTCTGCCCATGGACTGGGTCCTCCATAAAGCTTTCAGGCTTCCTCAAACCCCTCATGAGAAGTGTGCCTTTATTATCCCGGGGGCAAAGTCTGCAGCCACAAGTGAGGCGTGGGCTAAGGAAATCATGGGGAGCCTCCAGGGCCCGACCACACAGGTGTGTAAGGAAATCTTGGGGACTCAGTTCATTTAAGAGAGAGAACTCGGAAAGGCACTGTGGTACAAGCTCTTGGGGGAAGACATCCAGGTCAGAGGAGTGGGAAGCCCACCGCGTGATCGCCCAGACCCCGTCTCCACATCTGGCTCAGATACACAGGCTAAGATCTCAGCCAACAGGGCTGCTCACTCAGCAGGGAGCTGACATGTGGCTCTGTCAGGAGACAATTGTGGAATCTGGGGGATCTGCCAGGAAGGACACAACAGCAACGGTGCCCAGGGCTCTGCATGTCCCAAACTGCTCCAGTGCCAAAAATGTCCGTCACTTTGATCTCATCACACACACTTGACCTTGTCACATGGCCTGTCAGGTTTTGGCTCTAGAAATATGGTCACCATGGCTTGCAGTGCTGGGCATAGTGTCACACTGGGGAGGTGGGAGAAAGGGCAGGGAAAGGACTGGGAGGCGGTCTCTGGTGCTGGAGAGCGGAGACTGGAGGCTCTAACCGTTCACACAGGAGCGCCACCCTTCCCAGTCCCCACCAAACACCTCTTGTGTCTCTGCGGTGTCGATGGGAGCAGTGAAGGGAGGGAGGGTGTGGGGGTCAGGGTCTCATTCATCGATTTCCCTCTGACACTTGGCACTGAGCAGAAAGCAACAAGACCAAATTTCCTGTGTGGCCGAGCGACACCTGCACCTCTTCCTACATTCCGTTTCTCAACTTGTTTCTCCTTCATGATGATCCTTAGAGTTTTTCAGATATATTTTCCTAGCTACCCATCTCCTGCCACATTTTAAAAACAATTTGGTGGCTTTTAGTGTATTCACAAGGTTGTGCAACCACCCCCACTATCTAGCTCCAGAACATACTTGTCACTCCTAAAAGAAGCCCTGTGCACATTAACAGTCACTGCCTCCACCCACCCCACTCCCTCTCCAGTCCCTGGCAACCACTAATCTACTTGCTGACTCTTCTCATGTGAATTTGTGGCACCACGGAGGTGCGGATGCCTTTTCATGTACTATAGCCTTTTGGATGGGCGTAAAGCATTGTAACGTCTAAGACCTCCCCACAAGTAAAAAATTTGTCAGTCCTCATTTAGAATGGGTGACTTAGCCTCACACCTCTCAAAGTACATGGGTTGCACAGCCTCGTTTCCATCCTTAGCACTGCCCAGCCCCATGTCCAACCCAGGCCCAAGGTGATAGATACCTGGGGTCTTCTCCTGTCTCGCCATCAGGAAGGCTGCTGGGGCATAAATGGAAGGATCAACACCAGTTACTGCGCGCGCGCATGCACATGCACACACACACACACACACACACACACACACACACACACACACACACACACACACACACACACACACACACACACACACACACACACACACACACACACACACACACACACACACCCCACATCCCTGTATTTCCATCACATTCAATCTTTGGGGAGAACCATCCTCACCAGCAAACAGCAAACTTGCAACCTGTTTGCAACCTTGCAAACAGCATGAGCTCAATCAGGGTTCCTGGTTTGGCTAAGAGCAGCAGGGAGGCTGGCTGGGCACCAAGACCATTATATACTTGAGGAAACTAAAGCTCAGGGTGGGAAAGTGACTTTTCCAAGGTCACAATCTTCTTACACAGTGCTTCTCAAATTGTAAATAGGGACCCAACGACTGCATCAGAAATAAGTAGGTTGCAATTGCTATTCACAAATGAGAATATATCAGCACATGCTGCAGAGGGTTAAGATTTGTTTCTTTAAAGAATTTTTCTTTATATCAATGAATGGATGTAGTGGACTGTGATATAGGATTCATTTCACACTGTGGATTACAGTAAAGAATGATTTTGAAAAACAGTGAGTGAGGTAACCTGAATTTTGGTGCCCAGTTTCCCAGTGCTCTTTCTCCTGCCACAGCCCAAGACCTTTCAACCTTCGAGAAGCAGCCTGGGCCACGGAAATGCGTACTTATGACACGCACACTTGGGGAAAAACAACCAGCTGTGTTTTCATACAAATCTTCCTTAATGACATTAAAACCCATCGATATTTAGTGAACTTTCAAAAGTATCATGATAAGCACTGTAATAGTATTATTTCTTTTCTTTTTTTTTTTTTTTCTAGTACCGGCAATTGAACTCAGGACCTTGTGCCTATCAGGCAGGTGTGGAGCCACTGAGCTAAATGCACAGCCCAGTACAATCTCTTTTAAAGCACAAAGTAACCACATGAAGAGTATTTTTATTATCCCCACTGTACAGATAATGGAAATGAGACTTCAAGAGGCTAAGTAATTTGCCCAAAGTCACACAGCCAGCAAGTGCAAAAACAAAAACAAAAACAGATTGGATTTCAAATCTGCATATTTTCAGTGTTGTGCTACATAATCTCACCGTGGTTTCCCAAAGCCATATCTCCTATACATATCTTCTGTTAGGAAACCCAGGATGGGCCACACAGGGACAGAAGGAAGCCTGATGAACTTCTCTCCACAGCAGGGCAGGATGAATGTTGGTATTAATTACCAGTCCCCTCTGCTCTGTTCTCAGATCTCTGTGGTCTCCTTTCACTCTCCCAACCCAACCTCACCTCTCTGACCAGCAGATGGCTATAATTCACACTTTACAGACAAGCTGCTAAAATGGGAGAGATAACAAACCAAAGCTGACAAGTTCCAGCTCAGTGGCCCTGCCCAGATAAGCTCCTCTCTGGAACCCTCCTCCCTGACTGATGTGGAGCCTGGAGCACTGTTATTTCTGTGTCCCAGGCCTCCCTAACACCTCCTCTTTCACCTTCCAGGCTGCTCAATTAGCCCTCCTAATGGACTACCTACTTTCCAATCCCTCCTGTGGAAGCCTTTCACCCCCACAGGGAGGTGAATGCGGGAAGAATATCTTTTTCAGCCCCCACAGCACTTACTTGGCACATGGCAGATCTGTAATGAATGGAGCTTGTTAAGGGACATGTTAATCATTGAGGAAAAGGGCGGGGCCGCACTCTACAGTCGCTTCCCATGCACAGCATGCAGTTCCCTGCATCTCATCCAGCATCAAACACCCTGTCCCCACTTCACAGCCGAGGACACAGGCTCAGGGTCTACAGAGCAGGCCCAAAGTGACAGGATGGCGGGGGGTGTGCTGGAAACCCAGGTTCACCCCTTTGCAGAGCAGCCCTGAGCCTCCCCAAGGCTCTGTGTATTTGTTTTAATTCCAGAAGTGAGGAACGGCTCGCTAGACCAGGCACTTTCTCTCAGCAACTGCTGGGGTCTGAAATGAGTGTTGGGGGGCATTCAGTTCCTCCTTTGCAAACAGCACCTGCGATCTCCCCCCCCCCCGCTGCTGGTCAGCCTGAATCTGGGCAGGTGTGCACCATGCTAAGTCAGGGCTCCAAGGTGCTCACAGATGGTAGGCGAATCAGACAGATACATGAATCAGAAGGTCACAGGGGCAAAAGAAAAGCAGGGACAGGAAAGTATCAGAGAACTTTGAAGGGAAAGTACACATCACCACATATGCATCTGTATGGAGAAAGGACAGGAAAGCTCTGGGTGACAGGATACTAAATGGTTTTCATTTCTTCTTTATACATGTGTATATTTTTCCAATTTATTGTGTGTCCTTTCAGAATCAGAGAGAAAAAAAAAGTCATTTGGAAGAGGAGGAAATCTAAAAAAATAAGGAAAGGTTCATAGAGGTCAGAGCCGGGTCAGATCCTGGAGGGTGGGAAGCACTTGGAAGTGGACAGGACGGTCGGGTGGAGGGGGACAAGGACACAGTGTACGGTGACAGGCAGGGTGGAGAGGTGGATGGTCACGGGCTGTAGACTTGGGATCCTGAAGCTTCTCTGCTCACTGGCCATGAAATCTGAGGTGAGCCCCTGGCTGACGGGAGGCTCCATTTCCTTATCTCCCAAATCAAAGTGCAACTCTCACAATGACAAGGAGAGAAAGTATTACGAAGACGAAGGAAGGACGTGGGGTTGGACCGTCCTTTCAGTTTGGTCCCTAATGTGTAGGAAGCGGGGAAAATGGAACATCCCCAGCACTTATTTAAGATCCCAGCAATAAATCAAAAGAAAAGTGGACATTGAGGTTGGAAAAGTAACTTAGGACTTCGGTGGTCCCCATGGTCCATTCGTCCTGCTTGCTGTGGACCTGTGGCTGTCCTGAAACAACTGTTCACCTACAGCACTCTTTTCACTGGGTCCCAAGCCCGAATCGCTAGGTCTCAAATCTCCGAGACAGAAAAGGAAGGGATTTTTTTCTGTCATTTTCCAAATGAGGGAATTGAGTAAGCTGCCCACGGGCACAGAGCTGGGGAGTGGCAGAGTCAGGACTATAACCAGAGGCCACCTGGTCCCCAAGCCCAGCTTTTCACCTCTACACCTCTTGTCACACCTGCATCCTGGGGAACCCAGCAGCACCTGACTCCAACTCTCTCAAGGCTCCAGAACTGTTCTGCAGATCAGCCCACCGGCTTCCTACTTCCTGGGCATGAGGCTTCTTGGCATCTTGGCAGGCAGCTTCCATGCCAATCCCAGACAAGAAGAGGTTCTGACCTGAGGCAGGCCCAGGCCCCAAGAGTGGATCTGGGCAGATGTGACTGGCAGAGGTGGGAGGAGGAAGCAGGGAGCCCCAGGGAGACTGAATTAGCAGTTTCTCCTCAGGGGGCTGAGAACCCCTCCCCATGCTGCCCTGGGATCTGCTTCCCTCTGGATCCCTGGGGGCATTTAAAGCCATTCTACTGGACATTAATGCTCCTGTTCTTTGTTTCTTGGGAAAACATTCCACCTGAGTGTACCTGCTTTTTATTAAAATATTTTTCACTTAAAGATCACAGAGGGAGTTTGCAAACTTCCAGGTTGACAGCTCATCAACACAGAGAGCCAGGCAGGGGCTAGGGACTCTCACTAAAAGGGAGTGAGCCATATGGCTCAGGGCAGCCCACCTAGCTCTCAGTTTGGCGGCTGGACCTGCACTGATGCCTCTGAGCCCACCTGGGGTGCTGTCTGCAAGCCCCATCTTTCCCTTTGGAGCCCACACAGGGCAGGTCACAGAACCTACATCCTGTGCAGTGCACCTGAGGTACAATGTGGAACCCCAGGAAGCCCAATTATTTGCTCGAGAAATGGAGGCAGGAGCAAATAATCACAGCTCTAAGAGTATTGCGCATTTCAAATGTTGATGGAGGGATTTGGAGTTTGGGTTTAAGGAGCAGCTTGGGCAAAGGCCCGTGGGTGAGTCATGCCAAGAGGTATTAATGATAACAGTCTCCTGAAGAGCAACAGTGGTTCCCGGTTCATTCACTGAGTAAATTAATCAATTTAGTAAAGGCACTATGGGTACCGAGAGATAAATAAGACACAATCCCTGTCTCCAGGGAGCTCACCACAGTCTCTCCTGGGATGCAGGCTGGAGCACAATTAAAGAGCAGTAGGGGAAATCTGTTCTTGGCAAAGAGGTACGCTGTGGAATAATAACGTTTATAATAATATTTAAAGGGCATCTGTCACATGCTAAGTTAATCCTCACGTCAACCCCATGGGTAAAAAGGCAAAGTGGGTTCAGAATACATACGGAATTTTCCAAAGCACAGGGACCAAATGTGAACTCGTGCAGCTTGGCCTCCAGCGCCATACTTAGCTCCTAAGTGAACAGCTGCACCAACAAACCAAGCCCTGTCTCCCCAGAGCATTCACCAAGCCCAGCCTCTCCTCGCCCAGCTTCCTGCCTTGCACCTTCTGGAACGTTTTCTGGATGCCTGGTCATGGGGGCAGACAAAACATAGAGTGGCCTGGCATTACCTTTGCCTGTGGCGGCCAGCATTCAGGCTTTCAAGCAGGGCTGCCAGGTCAAGAGCTCCTTGTTTTTATTTATTTATTTATTGGTTTTTTGAGACAGCGTCTCACTATGTAGTTGAGACTGACCTGGAACTCACTGTGTAGCCCAGGCTGGTTTCGAATTCACAGCAATCCTCCTGCCTCAGCCTCCCGAGTGCTGGGATTACAGGTGTGCACCATCACGCCCCGCTAAAAGCTCTTTTGCTCTTGGCTCCCTATAAGAGCATGGTCTTCCCACAGACCTCAGATCCAACATCTGAGTCCAGGAGCTCCTGCCAGGAATGGAGGGCTGCCCAACATCCAGCCCCAAAACAGAAATCACTGCCCAGGATAAGGGGTCTAGACAGAGCTGTGTGTACCCAGGATTTTGCAGGACAAACAGCAGAAAAAGCCAACTGCTTAGGCTCCTCCAGCTCTGCACCACTGTAATAAGTCCCTTCCTGTAGTCAACCTCTCTCATCTACTATCATCCTTTATCAGCAGCACAGACCCTTCTACAGCCTCTGGGCTTATACTCTAGGCCTGGTATATCTGATCTAATCCAACTTCACGTCTTCAGTTCATCTCTCACCAGTGCCCTCCACACCCCCAGGACTCCAGGCCATGTTCTTCAATATCCATAAGCCTCTGCCCATGCAGTGAGCTGTGCCTGCAATACTTCACTCTTCCAGCCCTGTTGTTTTCTGCTGGATGAGCCCACACGCACCCCCCAAGGCTGTCCCTCCACATCCAAGTGAGCCTTCCTGCCTTCCCTGCAGGGGTCACCCTTGTTCTCCGCTCTAGGGTCAAAAGTGGGGCCATGTCTTCATTATCTATGGATTCCCACTGCTGTGCACAGGGTCTGGCACACCGTAAGGCTTCAGTGACTGCTTGGTAAGTTCATGTATCAATGTAGAGAAATCGGAGTATGAGCTGAGCGAGGAACAAGTTCTCACAGCTCCCTAGGGTTACTGGAAGCTGTTTGTGCATCTCATTATGCTTAGGCAGAGCCAGACGGTGTGAAGGGCAAGGAGGAGTCTGGAGAAATGAGAATCTTTGCTCCACAGCCTCCTACCCCACCTCAAACAGAGCCAGGAGCTGGGGCCTGGGCTGCCTGCTGAGGAGGGGAGGTGTTGATAAGAACCCTGAGGACCCATCCAGTAGCCCTGGAGGGACAGACATGTGTGTTACATCCACAGCTGGCCTTCAGCAGGTCAGGCAGTGCTCTTGTGTCCCTCTCGCTTAGCACACAGTGGAAAGTCTGTGTGCTTGGGCCAGCACCTGCCAGGAATGGAGGGGTGTCCATCATCCAAACCCCAAAACTTAAACCACCAGGACAAGGAGTATAGACAGGGATGTGTGTGCCCAGGATTTTGCAGGACAAACAGCAGAAAAAACTAGCACCTAGCTGCATATCCCACTTCTACCAGGCGAGAGCTAGGTGTGGCTTTGGGCAGCTTGCTTCATCTCAGCTTCTTCGCCTGTGGCATGGAGATGATCACCATGCTTCCCTCCCAGGGCCTAGGGAGGACCAACAGGCAATGAGGCAGCCTGCACCTAAGGGGGTCCCTATGTTAGGTGCCCCAGAGGCCCCCTCCCATGTCTCCTGGGCTGGGGTAGAGGTTTCTGAAGAGAGGGGGGCCAGCAGTCAGACCCTGAGGCTTGGCTCATCTCGAAGAGGTGAGGGCCGAGGCAGGCAGGGCCGAGCTGCTGGCAAGCAGCTTACAAAGGACAAGGAAGGTGCCAAAGCTGCCATGAGGGAAAGTGACAGCAAGGAGGTGGGGCTGTTGAGGAAGGAGAGAAAGGAACCAGGCTCAGAGGGGTTTTGACTGATGTGCAGAGCAGGACAAGGGGAATCTAGGAGCAACTGTAGTTTCTGAATTCTGCAATTCCATGTAACAAAGGTCCACTCTGGGGAGGACTGGATCCAGCCTGCTTCTATGCAGAGCCTGAACAATAACCAGTAAGGTGGTTGCCAGACCTGAAAGAACCCAGACCCAGAGCCCCTGCTCATATACTGATGGCAAGTCACCTAACCTCTCTGAGCCTTAGCTCCGGCTTCTGAGAAATGGGGTAACAACACCCCCACTTAATGGGAGTGAGAGCATGCTTGCTAAATGCTAAGAAATGTCTGGCCCATGGCAGGAACCGAATTAATACTGGTTGCTTTTTGTAGCTCAAAGTTCAACGGGGCTTCTATCTTCCTGTCACAGACACAGTCAGCCAACAGCCAAGGAGTCCTCACTCCAAAGCCGTGTGGAACAATCAGTCCACAGGAGTGGCAAAGTGACCTTAAATTCAAGGCCTGAACTTTCCGAGGCAGAGTGTGTTGAGAAATCTTTCCCATAAGACACAGAAGGCAGGAACAGATACCTTTGTTGCCAAACACATCTGAGTCCCCAAACCCAAGAGACTCATTGCCAGTCCACAGCCACAGCCATTGCTCAGTGCACCAGCTGGGGGCAGTTTGGAAAAGCAAGAAATGAGGGGGCGTGATGGTGCTCATGATCTTTCCCCTCAGCTTAATTCTGTCCTCAAGCTTGTGAAGACCTGAGATCTTGAATAATTTCCCTCTAAAAATGCCCGGCAAGGAAAGCTTGCCTTTTTGCCAAATTGGCTGCAAACTTCATCTCTGAATGATAGCTCCAAACCCCAACCAGATGCCTCCTCCCCTTGGCCACGGGAGGGTTTGGAGCCAGGCTCTGTGTGGACTGTGCAGCTGTCCTCTGCCCAGGCTCTCAGCTCCCTTTATGCCTCTTTTATCACCCAGCTCTTCTTTTCTTTTTAAAATGGAACCTTTTTAAAAGGTTCCATTTGGTATGCATTTTTTATCAACTAGTTTCAAGTGCTTCTTGGAAGTAGGTTGGTATAAATAATATATTCATTCATGATTGACTCAGCTTGGGATTCTGACTCTTTAATTAAGAGAGTGATCTTTGCCCAGAAACCACCATGGGTCTGGGTTCTCTCTAAGTCCCCAACACACCCACTGAATGGCCACTGTCTGGGCCTGAAAGCAATGGTGGTTTTGCAAGTTCCCACGCTGGGAGGTGATGTTGCTCAGTGAACATGGATGCCAAGTCAGACAGAACCGAGTTCTGTTCAGAACTCCAGCTCTGCCACTTAGTAGCTATGTGAAATTAGGCAAAGAGTTTAACGCTCATTTGAGAGAATGAGGAACAGTGATGTAACAGTTATGCTAGATCCCATCAGGATTAAATAAAATAATTCATGCAAAAGACTTAGCACAGAATCTAGCACATAGTAAGGGCTGACTAAATACTGCCGGGGTTGATGAGAATAACAACATCCTGTCCTGAGGGGTCACTGAACGCACAGCAGGCACTCCGTAAAGGCATGATGCTCCTCCCTGAAGAGCTACCTGCTACCCTGCTACCTGAGCCCAGAGGATGCACTTATTACCTGTTCCAGAAGACGGCTCCTGAGATCTTCTGCATCTCCCCCAGCGTGGCGAGGAGGAGTGAGGACTTGCCGCAGCCCACCTGCCCCACGATCATGGTCAGCTGGCCTGCAGGTAGGGTGGGTGGCAGATGGGAGAGATAAGGGGAAGTCTGAACCACCATCGCCCAGAAGGACGGAGAGACACATCCACTCCTGGGGGTCCCCTTTTCTTTTCTCCTGCCTGGAATCCCTAAGGAGTCTTCCTCCTAGAAATCAACACCATCCTTCAGCTTCCCAGTCCTTCCTCCTCTCTCGTGCCCCACTCCCCGCTTCCAGGGCTCGCCAGTGTGAACCCGGCTCTTCATGGCTTCAACAAGCACTACGTTGGCTCCCAGCTCCAACCCACATTCATATTTTGCTCATGGTGCAGCCTGCGCCAGAGAACGTCCTGCCTGCCTTGTGGCCCAAGGAACGCCACTCATGCCCAGAACCCTGCCCCTTCATGTGGCTGCCTTGGCTACTCCAGTCTGATCTCTCTGTGAGTTGCTTATGCTGTCTGCGGTGGATGATCTGACCTCCAGCCCTGCCTGTCTCACTGCTGCCCTCCCACCCAGCATGCCCCTCTCTGGGAGGCAGAATCCTGAGCTCCCCTCAAGAGTGAGTAGAGGGTGGGGCCGGGGATTTAGCTCAGTGGTTCTGGTGCCTGCCTCACAAGTGCAAGGGCCCGAGTTTGATCCCTGGTACCAAAAA